AAAGACTAAATAGCAATTTGTCAATCTCGTGATGTTCCTCTAGAAAATTCCTTTTTTTCTAGGACATTGTGATTTTTTAAATCAATTCTCTCTTTTGTCTTCTTAGAGGATAGATACTCTTTCACTCTTTCTACCTCATAGAACATTTGGTCTGTCATCTCTCTTGTCATGGGAGCAACGACAGATTAGATATGTTTTTTTTCTATTCATTGATACCTAAGAAAAATAATGGCATAACATCATTGAAGCAATGACCAACAGAACCAAAAGAAAGCTATTCAAAACACATAAACAAATCAAACTCAAAAGCTTCTTCCAGGAACCTGGTTTTGTAATAAGTCAGACTTTTACAGGAATTAGGAAGCATATATTCACAATACCATGTATTTCCATCTGTAATTGAATGGGTACAAGAATTAACAAACGAATTTTAGTTAAGAGTCACTAATTCCATCCAGAGTCTAGATTTTTTCCTGACATGCATGTTCTATCCTCTTCCCACTGTCTCCCTTCCATTCTGTTTTATCCTAGATCTTGGAGTCCATTGTACTTCTATGCTGTGTAACCTCAGCACACTGACCAAAAGGCATATGGGGATGTTTGGATAATTTTCTTTCATTTTCCTTTGATGTTAACTTCTCTTTGTATTTGCTTATACTCCTTTGGGATAGCAACTGTGAGAGTAAAATAATGGAATTATTTCCAAAGACAACAACTTAGTCCTTGAAGCTTTTCTGCATTTCATTGTGCTTATCAAAATTCTCTACTTTGATTTCATTATTCTGATTTGTTGTTTTAGTAGTATCAATACTTTTGACATCCTTGTAAATTGGTATTACCTTCCTTTTAAAAGAGAATGTCCTGTAATGGATAGAGTATTGGACTTGGATTCTGGAGGATCCTGAGGTAGCTGTTGTGACTATGAACATCAGTTAACCTCTCTGAAACTCAGTTTCCTCATCTGTAGAAGGAGGACAATAATTCCTATAGTGGTTAATATAAATTTTACTGTTATTTTAAGGCTTGAATGAGATAATCTATGGAAAAAATGTTCTGTAAAATGCTAAGAAATTGTCATTTCTTTATCATCATCATTGACATCATCATAATTATTGGTGTTGGAGAATCTGGAGCTATAAAAGAAATGCCTAAAACTGCCTTGTTTGGTGTGTTTAGAACTTGCATGCCTATTTGAATATATAATGCCTGTTTTAGAAGTCTCTTCTATGGAGAGTATAGAAACCACTGCTGTATCTTTAAGAGGAAGAGATGCTTAGAGTGTAACAATTTAATTGTATTTAGTGGAATTGAAATCTGTGGTGAGACTAAGAAGACAAGTAATGGTGAAGTTCTGAGTACAATTATGAAGAAAACAGAAAGAACATGATCAAAAACTTTCATGGAGAAACTATTTAGCTCTTACGAAGACATTAAACATAAAGAAAATTTCATGAATTCATATGAGTAGATTTTTTTTCTGTCACAGAGATTTGACTAAAGTATAGAAAAAGAGAATGAAGAAGACTTCTTACTTTAGAGAGCTGTTTTAGTTATTATCGTGTGAAAAGATTGAAGAAAATTAATGAGAAATAACTGCTGACAATTTAGAGATAACTGAATGGTGGGACTAAGGTGTTATAAGTGAGAAAAAGCCAGGAAGTTTAGGGGAGATGACTGACTCTGATTTTTCTCACAGCTTAATCATTGTAACTAATTTACATAGTTTAATTAATGTTGATTTGGGCAGCTACATGGCTTACTAGATAAAGTGCTGGGCCTGGTGTCAGGAAAATCTGGGTTCCAATCTGACTTCACACACTTACCAGTTGTAGGACCCTGAGCAAGTTACTTAACACTGTCTCAGTTTCCTAATCAGTAAAATGAGCTGAAGAAGAAAATGGCAAACCATTCCAGTTTCTTTGCCAATAAAATCCCAGATATGGTCAAGAAGAGTCAGACATGTTTGAAAACAACTGAAAAACAATAATACTAATATTGATTACCTTCATAATAAATGATAAAAATTGAAAAAATATTATTTATTCAATGGTAAGAGATTAGCCTATATTATCTTATCAATCTTTATATCTATGTCTATCTATTTATCTAGCTGCAGCGGCACTAGACTACCTAGCACAGGCATTAGATGGATAGATGTCTATCTATCTATCTATCTATCTATCTATCTATCTATCTATCTATCTATCTATCTGTCTGTCTGTCTATCTAGGTATAAGTAGATAGATATAGATAGACAGACAGATAGTTAAACACTATTTATAAACACTAAAGCAGAATATGAAATGCCAGCTATTGTTATTTAGACATAAATAACTGGTTATCAGAAAAGAAGATTCTTAGGTTCATTAAATAAGTAATATTTAATAAAAAGGTCTGGGGTTACAAATGAGTTGATTAAATAAATATATAATTTTAGAAATAAATAAGTCAATGTTCAATATACCTACAGTGTATACTAGAACTTGGGTGATGAGACTAAATATAGTAAAATGTAGTAAGTCAGGGCATGTTGATGGTGCAGTGAAAAGATTGTTGGGTTTGAAGTAAAGAGGACTCATCTTTCTGAGTTAAAATCTGGCTTCAGACACTTACTAGCTGTGTGATCTGGGCAACTCACTTAACACTGCCTCAGTTCCTCATCTGTAAAAATGAATTGAAGCAGGAAATGGCAAACCACTCCAGTATCTTTGCCAAGAAAACCCTAAATAAGACCATGAAGAGTTGGGTATGACTGAAATAACTGAAAATATGGTGCCAAGTTGGGGAAAGGGAGATCATTTCATAGAAGCTGCAAGTAAATTATAAATGACCTTTGTTAAACGCAGTTATAGAAGTTTCAGCTAAATTTATTTTTCAAATTAATGTGAAAATTTTCAGAAAAAGAATTTTGCAGTGCATAAATAACCAATTTAAAAGTTCGCAAAAAACCCTTTTACATATATTATGTAATCTGATTTTCATGATAACCCTTTGAGGCTTACAAGGCACTTATGAATTCCATTTTAGGTATGAAAAAGTAGACTTGATGAAGTTATATCATGATCAAAGTAACATGACTCATAACAAAGCCAGGTTTTCTGAGTTATAGAATAGTGATCTTTCTACTATACCATATTCTCTTTCTCTTTATGTACACACATGTGTACAAACCCATACAAAGACAGATACACATTCTTCATCAAATCTTAAATCTATCAATATATTTGTTTTCTCTTTAAAGTTTGATTAAATCTTCAAACTTTGAAGAATCTCATTCTAAATGAAAGCCCTATGGAGAGTATATTTCACTCTAACTCTGTCACTTTAAGGTTTCCATATTTTGAATAGAAGAGCCTTTCTGGGCAACGTCTAGTCTTTAATCACTGTTTAGTAGAGTGGACCTTTTATGTATCTGCTGTAAAACAATTCCAATTAAAATGTGTTGACCTTCCAAGGGAAGCTCTCTATCTTCTTTGTGGCAAAAATGAAAAGAAAGAATGATAAAATAAATTAGAAGTCATATATTCATAGGTATTCTCCCTGTGAATCCTCATGAGTGGTCATTTAAAATCATGAAAAAGATTTTCTTCTACCTAGTTTCTCCCTCGCAAAATTCCCTGGAAATTTAGAATTAATATTTTTGCATGAAAAATCCATATTGAATATCAATGATGAATCATGATTTTCTTGACAATTCAATTAATAAGGTGTTTATTAATCACCCACAGTTTGCAGAACATTGTTTTAAACCATGAAGGAAGCAAAAAGTTGAGATAAGACCAGCTTTCTCCTTTCATAGAGCTTAGAGTCTAATAGACAAGACACAAATTCATATATCTATTCATATATCAAATTCATATAATGCTATTTTGTGCTAATGCATTATATACTCTGAGTACAAAATATGTAAAGTCTTAGGGGAAAGTCATTAGTCCTTAAGGATTGATGTATCATGGAAGATTTAAAAGAAGGGCAACAATTTAAACTGCACTTTAATAAATGAGTTAGAATTTAATAGTTGAAGAAGTCTCTTTTAGGCATAAGGAGCAAAACCTCTGCATTTATATTAGTTTTCTATTTTCTTTTTTCTATTAAAGTTGAGTTAGAGAGATTCAGAGCCTATAACAAAGAGATCAGATTTGTTTTGCTTGGCTACTGATGGAATCAATAGGTGGAAGTTGAAGAAATTTTTTTTTAATGCAACTAGTTGTGGTACAGATTAGAAAGGAATAAAAATTAAAAAGGAATGATAAATTAGACAGTAAATTCATGACTATAGTAATAACAAAAAGATTTTGTGTAAGGGAATGAGAGAATCTGAATTTGATCAGACTAATTCAAGCCACCCCTATCTTGGAGTGTGATAAAAATTTGACTGACTCCCTTTATTCCAGTTGTGAGGCACTATGTTAAATGTCTGCACACAGGCAAATAAGAATTAAGGAATTGTTTGTTTTGTGAAAGAATTATTGAATATCTACCTACCCTGGGAGCTAATTTGTATGAAAAAACAAACACACATTAATAGCCAATGGTAAACCACATGAGTATTTTCTGGTGGATGTGGGTTTAATTGTTAAAAGTACTGACATTTATTAAGTATGTAAATTGATATCTAATTAACTGGCTTCAGCTATCTTATTAAATGCCAATTAAGTATATTAACATTTCTTATAATTTTAGTATATCAATAAGAATTTAACTGTACCTTTATTACCATTGCAATTTTGAGTTAATTACATGTCTAGGTGATTTATCTTTTGCATAATAATAAAGTCTTTGCCTCTGTTCTTTAAAATAATAAAATTTGGGGTTTTTAAAAACTGTGAAGGTAATGGGTTCTCTGGAATTTAGCCCCCTTTCAATCTTGAAACTAGTTTTTGATCAGAAAACATTCACTTCTGCTTTTCAGTTGAAAATACATAATAATTCTGGTTTATAAGCAGGAGATTATGCACTAGTATAACATGCACCAATCATAGTTATTTTTTTTTATGTCCATGTACGCAGAAAGGTATTTTTTTTTCCTGGAAAATCAAGGATGACTTTAATTAAAATTGATAATGGAACATTCCACTGAGAAGGACCCCTTTGGGATCCTTCCACAGTGACAAAGTCTATGCTCCCTTTATATTTTTCCCAACACCTTTTCCATTTTATATACTTTGCAAACCCTTGATGAATAAATGGACGAATATATTCCTTCACCCTCATCACACTTACATTTCTATTTTTTTCTGCATTAAGAAAACAACTAACCACATGATTTATTTTCATTCTAGTCACCCAAACCTAGAATAAATTTACATACAGAATTAAGCCTAGCTTGTTGTTTGCATGGGGTCTAGGTGTCTTAAATGAGGCAGGAAGAACAAGGAGAAAACTCACATCAAATTCATGTGAATTGTATGGATCTTGTAAGCTTTCTGTTCTAATCACCTCATTTTAAAAATGAGGAAAATAAGCCTCAGAGTTGAAGGTCACATAGGTAACAATAATTAACATCTATATACCTTTCTAAGAAATTTGTAAAGTACTTTACAAAAGTTAGGTCATTTGATCTTATGAAAATTCTGTGATGTACATAATTTAGAAATCATTAAAACCATTTTTTTAGGTGAGAAAACTTAGGTTCAAACAGATTAAGTGACCTGTCCATTCATACAATTTGTAAGTATCAGAGATGAATGGGTGTTGTCTCAGACAAACTGAGCCCTTAGAAAGACCTTCATTTAAAAATGTCAGGGTCTCCTACTACATGAAGGGTTATCACCAGTCATCCTGACCTATGTTTTTCTACTGAACCCCATGACTTTGGAGGAGAAAGTGAGACTGATGACTTTGCACAGCCTTGCTTGACTTAAATCCATTTCACTTGCAAGTCAAGGCATCACCTTCCTGACACCATTGGTCCTCTTCAAGAATGAAGGACAAACAACAATCAGAGATATTTTTTGAACCCAAGTTATCCTGACTCTCAGCCCAGTGAATAATAGTTCGGTGCTATGCAAACTACCTGTCAGAGCAACAGAGTAAGGATGAAAATATATATCCTCTGATTTCAGATAAAGTTTTATTTCCATTAAGCCATGCTATTTCTCTAACTGAGGCCACCAACACAACACTCTTCCCAAAAATACACACACACACACACACACACACACACACACACACACATACATACATGCATACATACATATATATATATATATATATATATATATATATATATATATATATATATATATAATATAATATATATATTATATATATATATATATATATATGTCATCCATAGAGAGGGCGAAGATGTTTCACCCAGACCCCCACTTTAATCATAACAGCAAGGACTCCTAAGGCTCTGAATGACTGACATTGAATGTCCAGGGAAAAAATGCATCCTTCTGCAAGCAAAAACTGGAGAGAAATTAGAAGAACCCTAAGATCATACATTCTAACTTTCTCATTTTATAGACAAAAGCCCAAAGTGAGGAAATGACTTTCTCAGGGCCACTTGTAAAATAAGTATATGAGTAATATATAAGTATAATAAGTAACAGATTAAGGAGCCAAACCCAAGTTTTGTAACTCTAAACATGTTACTGGCCATTAGCTATGTTGTCTCCTTCTTTTACATTTGAAGGACAGATAAAGGTAGTGCAATCAAATTTTCTTCTATTACTAAATGAAGCATCATCATATGCTAGTTATAAATACATGGACTTTGGCACCATTAGGTGTCTTACAACAACAATAAAAAAATCACTTGATAGCTTTTTTCTCTCCCCTTCCATCCCCTTCCTCCTCTCTCTTCCTCCCCCATCCCCATCCTTTTCTTCATCCTTTCTTCTTCCTCTCTTCCCTAGCCTAGACAATGCTGTGGTGGACACAACCAAGGAGGACACAGAGCCTGCTGATGCAGACATCATGGGGCTGTGCCAGGACGTGTTCTCCAAAATGGCCACATACCTGACAAGTGAGCTGACAGCCACCATTGAAGACTACAAACTTCTGAAAAATATGAACAAATTGACTAGCTTGAAGTATCTAGAAATGAAAGAAATTGCAGTGAACATAAGTAGAAACCTAAAAGACATCAACCAAACATATAAAGCTTTTCAGCCTTATCTAGATCAGATCACCTTAATTCAGGAGCAAGTAGCAGCTCTGGAGCAGGCAGCTTACCAGCTGAATGTATATTCAAAGAAACTAGAAGCAAAGTACAAGAAGTTAGAGAGGCGATGAAAGAATTCTTTAAAACAAAGACTTCACAAAAATGTTTCAGAAGAGCTGAAATAAGTGGGATGGAACTTATCACCATGTTTCAATTCCTTAAAGGAAGTAGTGCAGCTGATCCCAGGGAAATCCAGGCCCTCACCTCTAGTTGGATGTGAAACTTTGGCTACCCCTTGATCTTTCCTAAACCTGTATCTTCTAGAACCTTATCTTATCATGTGTTTCATTGCATACCCTAGACCAAGGCTGAGAAATTGGGATCAACTCTAGAGCAGAAACAGAGGAAAGGCTCTGATTTCCCTGTCTGCACCCTCCTTCCCTCTCTCCTAGGGCTTCATCTTGGACTCTCTGTTATGAATGTGTTCCTCCATCCCCTCCATAACCTGTTCTTCAACTTAAATAATAAATACCGACTTATGACCCTCAAAAAATAATTTGATAAAATAAGTCCTGTTAGAGGACTGAATTGCGGGCAGCTGTGGCAGTTTCCAGACTTCTCAACCCACCAACACCAAAGACAACTTAGAAGGTCAGTGGGAAAAGTCTGCGTCTGTGGTGAGAGAGAGAAGCACAGTTCCAGCCTCAGTTCCCAAGCTTGGCCCCCAAGGTGGCAGCTGCCTGTCGAGCTTCCTGCCCACAGACTGAGGGGGAATTGAGTGGCTCATCAGATGGAGATTGTAGGGATCTCTCTGCTGGGGCAGTATTCTCTTCCTTTGCCCTTGCTTGGATCTTGGAGCACTGGTGTATTGGAGCTTGTAGTGGCGGTACAGAAAAAATCATCCTCACAGTTCCAAGACAGAAAAGAATGCTTGTGGTCACTCATAGACCAGAGCACAGGCAAGGAAAAGTGTAAATACCTCACCCTTGATCATAGCACCTTGGAAGAACTGAAAATTTACAGGTCCCTAGAAGTAACTCTGAAAACAGCTGCACAAATCCCCCACAGCTTGGGACAGTACATTCTCCACACTGGAAGCAGACCCCTACCTTAACAAAGAGTTTATAACTCAAGTAATTGGCTGAGATCATGAGCAAGCAGCACAAAAAGAGTCAGACCGTAGAATCTTACTTTGGTTACAAAGAAGATCAAAACGTACAACCAGAAGAAGACAACAAAATCAAAGCTCCCACATCCAAAGCCTCCAAGAAAGATACAAATGGGTCCCAGGCCATGGAGGAGTTCAAAAATGATTTTGAGAAGCAAGTGAGAGAAGTAGAGGAAAATCTGAGAGTGATGCAAGAAAATCATGAAAAACAAGTGAACAACTTGCTAAAGGAGACCAAAAAAAAAATACTGAAGAAAACAACACTTTAAAAAATAGCTTAACCCGAATGGCAAAATAGATGCAAAGAGTCAATGAGGAGAAGAACGCCCTAAAAAGCAAAATTGGTCAAATGGAAAAGGAAATCCAAAAGCTTACTGAAGAAAATACTTCCTTAAAAATTAGATTGGAGCAATTGGAAGCTAGTGACTTTAAGAGAAATTGAGACACTGTAAAACAAATCCAAAAGAATAATAAAAAAAGAAGAAAACAATGTGAAATATCACATGGAAACACAACTGACCTGGAAAATAGATCCAGGAGAGAGAATTTAAAAATGATTGGACTATCTGAAAGCCATGATCAAAAAAAAAAAGCCTAGACATCATCTTTCAAGAAATTATCAAAGAAAGCCACCCTGATATTTTAGAACCAGAGGTCAAAATAGAAATGGAAAGAATCCGCTGATCATCCCCTAAAAAAGATCTCCAAAGGAAAACTCCTGGGAATATAGTAGCCAAATTCTAGAGTTCCTAGGTCAAGTAGAAAATATTTCAAGCTGCCAGAAAGAAACAATTCAAGTATTGTGGAAACACAATCAGGATAACATAAGATTTAGCAGCTTCTACATTAAGGGACCGCAAGGCATGGAATATAATATTCCATAGGGCAAAGGAGATAGGAGTACAACCAAGAATAACCTACCCAGCAAAACTGAGTATAATCTTTCAGAGGAAAAAGTGGTCATTCAGTGAAATAGGGGGCTTTCAATCATTCTTGATGAAAAGACCAGAACTGAATAGAAAATTTGACTTTCAAATTACAAAACTCAAGTGAAATGTGAGGAGGTAAACAGCAAAAAGAAATCGTAAGAGACTTGAAGGTTGAACTGCTTACATTCCTGCATGGAAAGATTATTTTTGTAACTCATGAGTCCTTTGTCAGTATGAGGGTAGTGGGAGGGAAAAAATTATATGTATATACGGATAGATAGATAGTAGATAGATAGATAGATAGATAGATAGATAGAAGGAATAGGGTGAGTTGAAGATGAAGGGGTGATATCTGGAGAATAAAATTAAGGGGTGAGAAAAGATTATACTGGGAGAAGGAGAAAGGGAGAGGTAGAATGGGGTAAATTATCTCACATGAAAAAGATAAGAAAAGGCTTTTACAGTAGAGGGGAAATGGTGGAAGGTGAGAGGGAATGAGTGAATCTTATTCTCATAGGATTTGGCTTAAGGAGGGAATAATATACACACTCAACAGGGTATGGGAAGCTATCTTACTGTACAGGAAAATGGGAGGGGGGACAACAGAGTGGGGGGATGATAGAGGGGAGGGCAGATTGGGGGAGGGGATAATCAGAAGCAAACATTTCTGAGGAGGGACAGGATTGAAAGAGAGAATAGAATAAATGGGGGGTGGGATAGGGTAAAGAGAAAGACAGTTATTTTTTCACAACATGACTTCTGTGGAAGTGTTTTGCATGACTACACATGTATAACTTTTATCAAGTTGCTTGTTTTCTCAGTGAGGGTGGGTGGAGATAGAGGAAGGGAGAAAATTTAGAACCTAAAGTTTTAAAAGCACATGTTAAAAAATTGTTTTCACATACAAATGGGAAATAAGAAATACAGGAAATTGGGTATAGAAATCTATCCTACCCTACAGGAAAATAGAAGGGGAAGAAGATAAGAGAAGGTAGGGGGAGAGAGAGAAGGGAGGGCAGATTAGAGGAAGATGTATTCAGAATGCATGCCATCTTGAAGTGGGGTGATGGATGATATGGGGAGAAAATTTTTTTTTTTTAATAATAACTCTTTAATGTTACTGGTTGTGACTGGAATGAGGGGTAGAATTTGATGACATATCATCTAAATTAAGTAAAGAAAAGCAATTCTGTATTCTACTCTCCTGAAGATGTGTTCCCCTTCTAGATAATTAATGGCTATTCCCTTCTGACATTTGATCATTATTTCTTTCCTAATCTGTTCTTGCTTAAATTGTTTAAAAGAATATTTATAGGTGAAGTGTGAGTGTATTAGTGGGAAAATGATGCTTGGAGTTACCAAATCAGAATTATTTTGGGCAATGACAATAGCATATATTCACCTAATACTATTGTGGATAGGATAAAAATTCATCAGAAACACTGAATTAGATGTCCTTACTTCACTCATCCAGGAAATGTATTTTGGTGCCACAAAGCAATAGGTCATGTTATAATCTAAGTTTCTGCTCACAACCTCTCTGATCTTTAATATGATTATTGGTAAAACTGTGTGGAAGTGTTTGTGAGGGAGATGGAACTGTTGTAGGGAGAGGTGTTAGGGTTGAACGTTTCTTAGATCTCTTCACACTCTAAACCAAAGGATATTATTGGAGTTTTGCTCTCACTTTAATAATAACTCTTTAATGTTACTGGTTGTGACTGGAATGAGGGGTAGAATTTGATGACATATCATCTAAATTAAGTAAAGAAAAGCAATTCTGTATTCTACTCTCCTGAAGATGTGTTCCCCTTCTAGATAATTAATGGCTATTCCCTTCTGACATTTGATCATTATTTCTTTCCTAATCTGTTCTTGCTTAAGTCTTCTATAAAATTTAAAATAAAACTCCCCATAAAGTTATCAAGTGTCAAGGACAATCATAAAAAGTGCTGTTAACAAAATAACCTTAATGAAATGGGGGAAATCTGAAGGCCTTGTCCAGATGCTTCCAGTTAAAAATGTTTCCTCTGATTTAGAGTTATTTATAGGACTGTTAATGGTGGAATTCAGTCTGAAATAAATGTCTTTCTTTTTGCAGTTATTTATGGGGCCAATGAGCATATTAGCACCTCAAACATTGAGTTCTGTAAGGTAGTGTGCAGCCTAAGTTTGTTGGGTGTCAACACAGAATTTAGTGATAGGATTTCCCTAGCATCTTCACAGTAGGCTAGTTGTTAGACTCTGGCACTGACTGATAAGGATAAGAAGGTATTGCCACTAAAGACCAAAGCAGGTTTATGGAAATTGGTTTAATGATTTCAGTGTGACTCCACAAAAGCAATATTATACTTAATGGAGATTATGATTCTTTCCAGCCCTCTGAACAATGAAAATAAAATTGTTTCTACCTGAGAAAAGATCTGCATTTTGCAAAGCAACTATTTTCCCCTCTTTCTCCACTCTCTACTTCTCTATTAAAGTCAAATATAAGAAAGCTTTCATCAGATATCAGCAGTGTTTTATTTCTGGAGTTAAATTTAATGGAAAAAAATTATTAGTACCAACTTCAAGGTAGAGTTCTTCAAAGTAGTACTGTACATAGTGTGCGGGCCTGCATTTTGAAGAACAGGAGTAAAAGTTATGATCAAAGAAATGCAAAAGGAAAAAAAAAATAATTGGTTGTTCTTTTCTAGTGTAAAGGGCAGAAATTGGATAGAAGTTACATTTGTATCCTCATGATATTAAACAAATGCAAGAAAGACCTTCATCATGTTGCATAGACTCCCTATGGTGAACTGATAGGAAGTCATGGAAAAGAGTAACCTGGGATAGTCAGATTCAAATAAAATGCAAACTTACTTCATGAAAGGAATATCCACACTGGTATGATTGAAGTAAAAAGTTGAATATTTAAATATGTAAAAGTATTTGTTAGGTGCTGGGGATACAAAGACAAAAACTAAATAGTCCACACCTTCAAGGCACTTAGAATCTATTCTCCAATGCCACAAAAAATTACGATTCTCCTCTA